CAATATGCTGACTCTGTAAACCGCTTAGAGAGGGCTGAAAGCCCTATGAAGCGGTATATAAGTCTAACTGCTATTGCTATTGCTATGTTTCCCAGTAAATGACATTTGGAAATATGGTGCCTCTAATTCTCAACTATGTGTAGAGGAAAACTTCTGGAATAGCAAAGGTATTTGTTACAAAACAACCAGAAGTCTTCTATTAAGCGCTTTGAATAAAATAAAGAAAACTGAGAAAAATTGAATAAAGATTCTTAAATAATAGATTTACTTACACATAACTCAAACTTAACTTTTTCAGGCTTTTATTATAGACAATACAAATTGCTTCCCATATGTATTATGCAAAAATAATGTTCAAACCTCATTCCAAAAAAAGATGATTATAAATCTAACATAAAGTTTCATTAATACAATTCATATGCAGTTAAAAATGAATCATAAGAAAAATAAATTAGAAAATATTTATATTCCTACTAACACAGGAAAATACCAGTGATTAAATACAAAAGTATACTAAAGTATAAAAGTCAATAATCAAATTAAATATTAATTATTCCTAATTCTTCACATTTGCAAAAAATAAAAATTAAACGTTTCAATTCATCCATTGATCAACTGTGAAAACCTCAGCAACCACTAGATGGCAGTAGGAAAAGACATAAGACATGGAAATTCAAAGCTTTTACAGAGAAGCAGCGTCAAAGTTTAGATTTTGGGAGACAGTTGAAGAATATATGACAAGTGCACATTAAGATATAATGTGGCTAGTTACACTTCTAAGAAGACTTCTATGAATACAAAAACTTAATTTATCAGCTTTATTCAATTATACATTTGCCACAATAAACCATGGTGAGTAAAGTCAATTTCCTTAGAACCTTGGATATACTTATAAACTAAGCACATGGGGGCGAATAAATGGGGAAGAAATGGAGGTATTGACAGATTTTATTTTCCTGGGCTCCAAGATCACCACAGATGGGGACTGCAGCCAAGAAATTAANATCAAATACTACATAACTTATTATTGCTGGGTTAAGACCAGTGAAGTTTTCATCAGAGACTTTGGAAGAAAGAATTAAATAAAATTCCTTCACATTTTCTTATTTCAGTAACATGATAGTGTTATAATTTCTTAGAATATTTATTTTTAATGTTTAAATGTTTATAATTTTTTTTCATACAGGAATCTCCTAATGTCTGATTCTGGCTATTTGCTGTTGCAGACTAAATTACTAATAATTAATTTAGTAGTATAAGCACATGGCACCTATGTGCTAATTCTTTACCTTTTCATTGGACATTGTATCTGTGAGATATATTTTTATTCTTTCACAATAAATTCAATCACTCCTCCCCCAAACATCAAAATACCAGGAAAATATATAATAAAAATGCCAGGAAAGAAGAGTAGTGCAGAGTAAATAATTTTTCTTCTTAAATTTCCTCTCCTATCACAGGACAAATTATCTCCCTCATTGTTGCCAAGATAATATGGTCATATTATATAAGATACCAGGTGTCAAAGTGAACTAGAGCCAGTCTTTACTTTGATTTTCCAGAATCTACTTTGTGATTCCACAAAACTACCTCCAAATCTAGCTACATTGTTGTCTTCTCCTTAAAAATTATTTGGATATAGTAGTAGTTTCACCAGTGCTACTATCTTCAGTACTTAATTTACAAATAATACTTAACGAGACAAAAGCAAAGGTGACCTCATATATCAAGTTCAGTTCTTAGTGACTTCATAAACATGCAGTAGTATGGCTATGGTTTGCCATTGAGGTTTTGATACCCAGCCTAGCTTATAGATCTAGAATTCTATGGGAGTCTCCTATCCAAGTACCACCCAGACTTGACCCTGCTTAGTTTCTGACATTAGGTGCTGCCACCTGCTGAGACAATGTTGTAGAATTTACTGTATATACAGTAAATTTATTTAACATCTTGTGCTGTATCAATCTGTTCCAACCAAGTGTCTTCCATTTACACTGTCACTGCAATTACCAGAAGTCCCAGGTTTGGGAACTACTATGTTGGGAGTAAGAGGCACCACTATACATCATTCCAAAGGATAAAATGTTACTAGTATTAATAATGCTAACACTTATTTACAATACAATACAATAGCAGAGTTGGAAGGGACCTTGGAGGTTTTCAAGTCCAACCCCCTGCCTAGGCAGGAAACCCTATACTGTTTCAGACAAATGGCTATCC